ATTTTTTTAAAAAAATATTAAATGAGAGGGAACTTATAGCATTTTGTGTTTTGAAGGTCAAAATTGTGATAATTTATTTTTCAAATAAACTATAAGCGATGATATAGTCATTTATTTGGAAATCAGAAGTGGTATACATGATGCGATGCAAGGTAACCCAGATACCTTTCTTATCATAATACGTTACTATTAATTTTTCAGCAAAAGAAGATAATAATTTAAACCATTCGATTATATCAGAGCCAATTTAACTATAAATATAGTTTTTTTTTTAAATTATATTGGACAAAAATTATAGCCAATCCGGGATTTAACCAATTTAATTTAACTATAAAATATGATTAAGCGGAAGATAATTCTCCGGAAAAAATCCCATCAGGTTTTTTCCCCTGAGAAAGTGAAGGTTATTTTTGGAAAAAATTATCAGGTGAATTTTTTCCGTAAAATCTTATCTTCCGGGATTTATTATTATTTCAAAATATAATGCTCTTTATAAACAATTTAAAACATAACAAAAAATGGAGGATTAACCAAAATTGACTCTCACTAACACCCGATAGAAAGGGCTAAAATCTATAAAACCTATAAATCAATCGAAAGAAAAAAATCAAACCTTTATTCCGATTACACTGGAAATCCGAAAAGTAGGTATTAGAAAATTATATTGAAAGAGTCAAAGGTATATAAAAATAATTCATTATAAGGAAAAGACAGGAAATCAAATTTTTAACTTCCGGAAAAAAGAAGAAAATTATAATAACCAAAAACCCCTTTAAAAATTAGGTATATCGCAATTTCATTCATGATGGAATAACGGTAATTATTTAAAGAAAAATCAAGATTTGGGAAACGTTTTGACAAAGTAATTTACCCAAAAGAGTCCTAGCGATATATGAGCAAAGCCAAAAGAATGGGCAAATTCTCATGCGTCGGCGACCATCGAATATCCCCTGTAATACTGAAAACACTTTTCTTGCCGAATTACATGGAAATTTATGTTCCCGAGTGTGCTATCGATATTATTTTTCCCTGAATAGTTCCAAAATGTGTTATAAGGTTAAGGAAATATAATATTTCATCAGAGACCTGTGCTCTACTAGAATCACGGGGTGAATGGTCAGGCCTAAAATTATAATTATTTACAAACCCGGGTAGATCTTGGAAATGGAAAAAAAAATAAACCCAGATCGGGTTCCATAATTTAACCGAAGGTCGCTAATTTTTATTTAAAAATTCGTAGCTAGAATAATGGGATATCGTCCCTCGCAGACAACTCGCAGCGGTGGGGCCGCGAAGATCCTTTGCAAATTATGAGGCCTTCAGAGGTCTCATTATAGGGAAGTGATATAATTATTTTTTGCGTAAAGGAAGTAAAGATACGCCTCTGGACAAGCACCTAAAACTTAAGAATAATATTTTTAAATAAGTTATAGTTATTTAAGATTTTATATAAATAATATTTTAAAGAATCAGATATAAGTCATATAGTGTAAGTAATATTACAAGATTAAATGACCATATGATTTTTTATCATAAAATAGTAGATATTAAATACCACAAATATATTGTAGATAAAAACATTGATGACTCAATATTATTAATAATAAGATATATTTAATATAAATGTTCGATAGTTATGTATAGAATTAATAGTATAATATAACCAAGTCGCCTTAAGGGGTTAAGGTAAAAAAAATAATAATATTGTATTTTTCAAATGGAAAGGAAAATACTTGATAAAAATATCATTATAAAGATAATTAAAGAAGAGCGAAATAATAATATCATTAAAAAAAGATGGAAATATGAGAAGAATGACTATTATCATTTAATATCACAGATAAATCGTACACAAACATAATTTAGAGAGGTAATGGCGAAAACAAAATGAAGGTAAGAAAGTTTAAAACGACTGGTTGCAAAATCAATGTCCTATCTGTATAAACCTGCTATATTCAGTAAGTTTTAGGGATTTTTAAAGCTTTAAATGTTTAGAGGATCCTTTTCTCGTTAGAAATAAATTTTGCCAATTCTTCGCAATTCAATTACCAATAATTATTTTCCTCCACTTATTCATTAAAGCTATAAAGAAAATTGCTAGGGGAGGACATTTGGGTCAGGTTTTGAAGTTTAAAAATCTTATCCATATTTTTGCTGGATGAGATAAAAAAAAATATAAATTTTCGTCAAGCAAAAAGTTATTTCTGACATTGAACGAGTATTTTTCTTTTTTTTTAAAAAAAATCAGCTCAGTATTATCTACAAAAATTCTTATCGAATTGATTGAAAATTATTTTGATGCCTTTTAAAGTTTATAATATTAATATCTATTAAATTGCTTGTTATGTTTTTACCAGAGATCCAAACAGTACGGAATGTCGGTTCAAATAAAAATAACAGTTTGTGGTTAAGTTTCGTAAAAAAATAATAATATCGGTTCAGTTTGAACCATTAAAACCTGTTCCTTTTCACATACAAGCGTATTAGAATTATATTGAGCCTTTATACAATTAAAATATTTTCAAGATTCTCTCCTGTCAAATTATAGGAGAAAAAATAAATTTTAGGGCTAAACTTGGGTTTGTGGCAACGTCACATAGTGATATAGAAAAAAATATCTAGAAATAGTTACTGATACTTTTTATTCAAAACTGATTATCAATTATCTTCAAGAGTTAAAATATCAAAGGTTTAAGCCGGTTCACAGGCATGGGAGGGGGAGGGTTGGTTAACAATTATTTACGGTTCAGGTTCTAGAAATAGTAGCAGTCACTACCGAATTAACGGTTAAGTTGAATATCTAATTTTTCAGATTCGTCAAAAATCAAAATTATATCTATTATCCCCACCATAAATGTGGTTGAAAATTTTAAACTCCCGAGCTACATTAGCTTTACAAAATCTAACTCAAATGCCACCTCAAATGAATTTATAAAAGTTAGGGAGAAAATTAATTATAATTTTTTAGAAGCCGAATTAACGGTGAAGCTTGAATTTTGAATAAGCTACTATCCGGGGCTGGAAGGTCGCATTAATAGTAGGATCCGATCCTAATAAAGCTTATTGATTTTTAAAATCAAGAGTTGGCTAAAAACTTATAAACTATAATTTTCACCACAATTAAATAATTGAAGGTAGATATTGTTATAACAAGAATAAAATTAATTTTAACCCCACATGTCAATGTCATCCAAAAAAAAATTAATTCACCTTGAAATTGTATTTTAATTTTTTTTTGAATTTTAGTTTTATGAAAAATAAAAATGGCCAGCTAACGATAGAAAAGGTACAAAATAAATAAATAAATGATAAAATTCTTTGTCATATGACGAGAATATTAAATACTGGACAACAATAAATAAAATTCATTACCTGTTTATAATTGAAAATATATTTTTTTAAATTCAGCCGTTATATTATAAGAGTTTGGCATCAATATTACATTTTAAAATGTTTGGTTGTAATAAATTTTGCAGCTTTTTATGAGGAAGGTTAATTTTTACAATTTTTTTGGTATACCCAGATAATTACAAATATCTAAATTTTTTTGAGGTAAAATCATTTTATTTATTTCAAAAAATAATATTTACTAAATGTAAGCTATTTATAAAAAGTAGTTGAATTTTATCTTAAGAAAAATTCATTTAAAATAATTATCCAATTATCTTCATAACAAAATAATCTTATTTTTAAATACAAATAAAATTTATTCCTAGTATTCCTTAGCTTTGCCTAAGCAAAACCCCTCTTAATTTTGAAATAGTCAGGCCAGAATCAAAAGGTGCAGGATGATGTAAATAATAAACAAAATTATATTATCAGTTTAAAATATGATTTTTACTGATTATTACTTAATCTGGGGAAATCACGGCCCGGCCCATATCTGTCAACTGGTTTCGGGCCGGGTCTATTTATAAAAAATAATTTCTGTTCAAGCTGTGTCGGGCCTAACATTTTTTTTTAAAAATTCGGATCGGGTTGGGTCGTGCTTAAATTTTTAAATATGATATCATTACATTTTCTTAAATAAATTGATATTTTAAAATTCTTGGAAGAAACATAGGATATTTTTTTCACAAACCAATTATATTTTTCTATATTTAAACATATTCATGCCGAGCGATCGGGCATATAATTTTTATTTTCGGGTCAGGCTTTTCGACCGGGGCTTACAAATTTTTTTTAAAAAAATCTGACCGAGCTTGAAAAATTAGGTCCGATGCAGATCACTAATCTGGAGGGGGGAAGGAGTGAAGGCCAGTTAACCAAAAATACTTATTTTTATTTATAAACTTTTTCCGATTGAACTCTATCCTCCCATAATAATTCTAAGGCTGGGGTTTCCACTCCCGGTAGTTTCACGTAGTCATTCTATTCGCTCAGCATCTTATATCATTTGTCGGTGCCGAAGCCTATAATCCATAAGTGGCCTATTCAATAGAACCCTAATATTTTAGTTCTCACTCATCCTGGTTATCCTACTATAATTTTTACAAGTCGAGTTAGCATGAATAGAATTCTCTATATTTGTCAGGCTTATAATATATGATAACTTCTGTTGACGCTCACCTCATCTCATTCAAATTATATGATAATGCCAAATTCTTGGAATAAACTCTCCTCCATTTAATCTTATACTTACTTAATTGCGGTGGGACCTCTTTTTTTCTGCCATAAAATCCATTATCACGAATATTGGGAAGTAATATTAATTTACAACTAAATATATTAAGGAGTCCTCCTATTATTGTTATTAAAAATTTGATTCTGCTAATTTTTAAAAAAAATGGTAAATAAATAATCAACATAAATATCGAATTGGTTCAAGTTTTTGTAATATGGGATCGATATCAGTTTTGTAGAATATCTAAATATATCGGATCGGTTTGGTATCGGTTTATAGATATCGGAAAATATAGAATAGGTTAAAAAATTTGTGAATCGGCACAGCCCCAATTTTAATTGTATACAGGTCAAAAATTTTATAAAGCTCAATATACCTTGAAGCATACTCCTGTAAGCGCTGTCGGCTATGGCGAATATGTGCGGCGGAACTTCGTGCCTCTTTTTGCCTTTGTAATATTCGATAACTTTTTCGGTGTATATCGGTAATTTTTTGTAAGGGTTAACAACAACGCAGAATAAACCGGAATAAGTCTAAAATAAATGTAAACGATTTTATATTATTTAATTATTACGTTCATCATTTTAAAGTATTTAATTGCTAGTCATGTAAATTGCTTTCATATTCTATACATAAAAAAGGATCAAGATTATTTTCTCCATACGCCATTTATATTTAGAGATCTGCAGGTCTGACCCTTGTCCTAAAATATTAAGATTTTGATTTTTTTTTAAATTAGACTGTATTCAGCGGGATCCGATCCGACAAGATTTAACAGCTGATCAATTTTTAAAATCTATTTCCCAAAACATTAAGATTTTGATTTTTTTAAAAAATAAAACTGCATTCATAGCGGGATCCGATCCGACAAGATTTAGCAGCTGATCAATTTTTAAAATCTATTTATGAGACAATTTTTCTTTATTTAAATCAATATTTCTTAAGATGATTATTATTATGAATAGAATTAAAGATAAAATTAACATTAATAAAGAAAAATAGATTTTAAAAGTCGATAAACTGTTAAATCGTTTCGAATCCTATCATGAATGCGGCCTAAATTATATTTAACAATTTATTCGGAAAATCTAATAAGGGATTGATTATTTCTTAATTTGCATAATCTAAAATTCTTCCTTAGAAATAATATTTAATTTTTAAATATCCTGACCGGACTTAAAAATAAAAACCAAGCCGAGTTTGACATATTTTCAATCCTTACGAACCGGAATTAAAAATTAGAACGCTACGGGTCTCAGATTCATGCAATTAATATCGAATAATGCGATAATCGCTCAACTCAAGGAATTTTTTTGAAAAAATATATTCAAAATTAAACAATTACACTTGAAGAAAAGAGTAGGATTAAAGACTAGAGATATGGGTTAAGAGTTTTATTAATAACCAACCCTAACAGGTCATGCGATTATAAATAGGCAAATAGAAATTAATCAGTAGTAAAGGCAATTTCCTTGAGTTGGACCTAATCGAATAATGAATGCACCCATAGCGTGCTAAAAAAAAGTTTATTAAGACGTGATTAGCAAATGATTGTAAGATCCAAAGAGACTAAACTAGAATCATCATGCTTTCTTCTCATTTATTTTTCTTTATAGCCCTTTCTTTTTTGTCATTACTAATAACTGAATAAATAAAATAATTCCCTCCAAAATATCTACAGGATAATCCAATAAAAAAATTTACAACTTCCTTAATTTAAAAAGGTATTTTTAAGATTGCTTTATAAAAATATATATTACTATTACTCACCTAACAAATATGTTCAAAATTTTTATTGAAAATAATTTAATACACTAAGTAAATAATGCTGTGCAAGTGTATGCTTTTTTTATATTCAATTAATATTAAATATTTTTTTAAAATATGAAATTCAAATATCAATATGTAATTTTACCAATCAAGTTATTATAATAAAAATGTATAAATCAAATATTTTTAAAGAAAAAGTTTAAATATAAAGTTACGATAGGTATGATAATCAAAAGGTTTATCGATAAAAAGAACTAAAATCCACACAAGATTCAAGCTGCAAATTGGTTATTGATAGCTAAAAGATCTTTGAACGTCATTAACTACATTCTATGAAGAATCTGTTAACATAGATAACAAAACGTCCCGATGACATGAATCGAACTCTAGTATTATTTTGCGTAAATAAAGGAGAGCTAACGCAACTTCACACCCTGACAAAACACCCACTTCATTTTGAAGTGCTACATTGTGTGCTCTTGCGTGCCTCAGCCCCATCGTTACAACCCTGAGCTGATATTAACAAACATCAAACATTTTCCGGTTCCTATATAAATAATAGTTACAAATAAGGCGCCTATACAAAAAACAAATAAAAAGGAACATTAATGTTCTTTTATAAAACAATAACAGTGATTAAAGTTGTCGGTTTTAATTAAATTGCAATTTTTTTAATGAGATTTTTTTTATGCAGCGATATTTTTCTCTCTCTCTATAAATATATATATATATATAAATACTTTTTTATTGTAATATTGAAATAAATTAACTTTTTAACTACACTAAAAAGAAGAAAAAAATTTAAAATATTTTTTTTATTCGCAAAATAATTATGTCATTTAAATAACAATAAGAAATTACTTTTAACGAGTAACGTTTTAAATCAATGAAACTTGCAAAGCATATGAAATTAGTTAATTGAATCAATTATCGAATTTGAAATAAATATTATTTTTTTTAAATTTAATATCTAATACCGTGAGCAAGTTAACCCTGAACGGGAGAAAAGCCACTTCCCCCTCTTCGCCTAAAAATTGTATTATTCATATTAATAGTATTCTCTCTCTTAAAAGGGGGAAGTTTATGCGAGGCAGATGGATAAAAATTTTACTAAAAAAAAATTTCATACATGGATATATTTTTTGAAAAAAAAATTAAGTTTTTTTTCTTTTTATTATATAAATTTCGATTTTGGAGTAGAGCCTAGTGTTGTTAAACGGCTAACTCTATACTTCATCCAGAAAAATATTATGCTAGCCTGAAGATTTTGCTCATAGAAGGAACAAAGGTCTATACATGTATTATCGAAATCTCAAGGCTTAGGCAATATTTTTCTGGCTAAAATATTGAGTTAGCCGTTTTTAAAAATCGGCTCAAAACGAGCCGTTTAGCAACACTAGTTAGGACATCTTAATATTTTTAATTGCGTATTTAATAAATTTATAGTTAAAAAAACTATTAGTTTCCTAGTGTTGTGTTGTTAAACAGCTCGATTTGAGCCAATTTTTAAAAAATGGCTAACTTAATATTTTAGCCAGAAAAATATTGTCATAGCCTCGAGATTTTGCTAATAGATGGAAAAACCTTTGTGCCAGTAATATTTTTATGGGTAAAATATTCAATTAATAGTTTTTTAAGGAAATCGACTCAAATAGAGCCGTATAATAACACTGCTAGATATCCCAGTCCAAAAATGAATAATTTTTTTTAGGCCGCTGTGTCCAAAATATCGAAAAATTAAATTCATAAACTTTCGAAACTTTAATGAAAATAAAATAAGTAAGCCATTTTAAATATAAAAATAAAATTATGTCCTAAACTTAATTTTATAATTTTTTTGTATCAATAATTTAACATAAGAATTTCGAAGAGAGAGAAAGCAGAAAATTTTGCTCCGTCCCTTAATCTTGTAGAAACTTAGGTTTTATTTAAAATGTTCACTTACGAATCGATACTTTTACGCGTTGCCTGTAAAGATCCATGCCCGAACCTGACCTATCAGACTAGTCCAAACTCAGATTAATAGTACAGACCTTTTCTCGGGTTCAGTTGGACCGGATCTTGAATTGATCAAAATTAAAATTGAATAAAAAAAACCGGGTCTTCCCTCTCTAGATTCGGATGGTTCTTTTAAAATACCATAATATTAAAAAAATCATTCCTAGATATGTAAAACATTGAATACTTATTGATTAATTATATTTACTTTACATTATAAATTTCGGACTGGGCCAGACTAAAAAAATACAAAATTCGAAGTTGGGCCGAGCTCAGGCTTAAAAATTTATCGATCGGAATTATAATTTAAATTATCGGTCAGACACTGGTAAATACGTGATTATCGTTGAGTTTCTGGAGAAGACACTATTTTATTTAAATTTAATATTTTTAAATCTAAGCGCAGTCCGATTTTTTTTTTTTAAGCCATTTGAGTTATTTTTTATAAAAAATTTGGAACACGACTTGCAGTAAGATTGTTAAAAAGCCCGATTTGGGTCGATTTTTAAAAGAGACCCCATTATGATTTTAGCCAAAATAATATTATGTAAGTCAGGATATTTTGCTCATAGATGGCAGAAAGGCGTGTACCTCTTAATTTACCAAATCTTGAGGCTTCCATAATAATATTCTGGCCAAAATCTTAATCGGGTCGTTTTTAAAATCGCTTCTGAATAGGGATCTTAGACGACCCTACAATCGGCCCAATATCTATAATAATGAATTGCGTTTTTTTTAAATATTCTATATTAATTGTAAAATCCAAAAATGTATAGATGGTACCACTTGCATTGAATTATTTAATAAACCCAATGAAAAAAAAATATTTAAGTAAAAGCACTATTATAACATTTTAAACTTTAAGTAAAAAATGTTTTGATTTAAATTAAACCTTACAATTCATTATTATATTATAATTTATATTTTCCTGGTATAAGTTTAAAACGTTTAAAAATTATTTTATAAAGTTTAAATAAAGATAATAATTGTGTTAATTTAAAATATAACATATATTATTGAGGGTCTGTGCATAAAAATCGATATCTAATAAAATAAGAATATTGAATAATGATGTCCAATTTATTTTAAATTATCTCTTTCTTTCTTTTTTTCTTTCTTTATAAACATGAATAGATATTTTATTAATTATTGGGAAAAAGGATAAAATATATTTGTCTAAATTAAAATAGGAGATGTAAAATATGAAAGCATAATGTGAATATTAGGATAATAATAAACAAATTAAATGGGTCAAAAAATATCATATATTTATAAATAAAACACTGATATTAAAAAACTAATGAGATGTTTCTTTAAAATGTATTTATAATGCCAATATTTATAATATATGATCTGCATCAGGCCTAATTTTTCAAGCCCGGCCCAAAATTTTTTTAAAAAAAGTTTTACCGGCCCGGCCTGAACCCAAAATTTTTTTTAAAAAAATTTACAGACCCGGCCCGGCCCAAATTTATTTAAACATAAAATTTAATTTTTATAATTACTCAGAATAAACGACATATGTTATATATCGTTTAGTTTCAATATATAAAATCAAATATTTTTATTTTACATAAAAAATTCAATATAAAATTGAAAAATTTACATATATTTTAAAAAAATTCCAAGGTCCGTCCTGGCCCAATTTTTTTTAAAAATATCAGGCCTGGCCCAAACTTGATTATTTTAAATAGAATTAGGCCCAAGCACTGCCTGAAGCCTGTTTGGGCTTAGCCGGACTTAAGCCGGATACGGGCCGGGCCAGATTTAAACCGGGTACAGGCCGGGTCTAAGTTTGCAGATCTCTAATATACAAACAGATCTTGATCTAATATATTCCTTGAATGTTGTAATCTTATTTATATTTTAATTAAGCCAATATTTAATTTGGAATTTTCATTTCAATGAATATATTTAAGAAACATGAATTTATTGAAACTTCGTAATATAAATCAAATGATTATGGTAATAACATATTTAATACTTATATAGTGAACTTATTTAATATTACTCAAAATTTTAAATAACATTTATAACTCATATCGACATAAATTAAAAAAATATATATAAATCAATCAGAGATGCCAAAATACCATCTTTTTAGGGGATAAAATATCAAAAAGGATATAATACCACCAATTAAGACAGTATTTGCTATAAAATTTTTAATTTATGAAGATTAATTGTCATTTTTGAGTATTGGTTGGTTATTTGTTAAAATTTAAAGTATTGAAAACAAAATATTTGATCATTCTTTCTAATTATTGTAAGTGTAACCATAACTGGAATCCAAAATTATCTAGCTTTTTAATTTAATATATAATAGAAAGGCATAGCAAGAAAGAAAATAAATCACCTCTCATAAATTTTTGTAAATATTTGAGCTGGCCCTTCCCAATAGTGATATAGCATTATGAAATTATTAATTATTCTTAACTAAGAGCTACAGGATTTGTGAGTAGTTTAAGATTTTGTTATTATATAATTTATTATAATATATATATATAATTGAAATTAATATTAAATTGTGGAAAAGATATTATCCTAAAATATAGTTTAGTAGTGTTTTCTAATAAATGTAGAATATTTATTACTTATTGTCATTAAATATTATTAAAATTATATATCTTAAAAATCAATTACATATATAAGGCCAGAATAATATCTGTCTTTGAGATTGTGAAATACTGAGGCTTCATTTAAGCAAGTTAAATCTGCCATATCTTCAACCTTAGTGAATTTTGGTGGATTCATTTTTTGAACATCTACTTTTTGTATTCTTAATCTTTTTCCTGTTTCTTGACATTCGACATCTAAATCGTCTCCTTGTTCGGCTTTTATACTAGCTTGTATAAATCCATGAATTTCATGAGGTATCCATACCAATTTTTTGAATGTCCACTCTGCCTGAGAAGCTGGGTCATTAATAACTTGTTTATCAACAATAAGATATTTAAGTTCGTTTTCAGCCATTTATTCTTCAAATTTGATAGAACTATAATTTTAAAGGCATTTATTATTATTATATCGGTGTGAACTGCGAAATAAAGGTATCCAATTTTGAATAATAAAAAGCATGTATGTTACCTAGAATTACAAAAATATGGAATTGCAATTAATTTAAAAAAAAAAAAGAAAGAAGTATTTGTTACAAATAAGATAATTGCTTATTTAATGAAATTTGTGTAAAATAATATTGTTTATTAATTTAATTTCAACTTTAAAATAATAAATTATTTCATTTATTGGATAATATTTAAGCTAAAAACCTAAACACCTCTCTCTTTCTCACACGCATATGTATATATAATAAAGCTAGAAGTATATGAATTGTAGTTAAGTATAAAATCTCTTTTCTTTGATAAATTTAAATAAGAAGGTAGAAATTATTAAGAATCACAAAATATCAAATATACATTATTTCATGCATGTTAAGGTAGAACTTTACATTGTGCATATATATTGATATTAACTTTAAAATTTATTAGTAAAATCGCTAAATTCAAATTATATAGCATATTTATATAACTGCCATTATTGATTTATGCCTGAGATTCAATCATAATTTTTCGCAAATCGTCCTAATGCAAGATTAAATTTATATTATGAAATGGGGTGTGTTGCAAGGAGCGAAAATAAATAAAGGCTAATAAAGAAAATAAAAGAAAAGATTTATCATTGATTCAAGAAGCTAATCATTGATTCAAGAAGCTAATCATTGATTCAAGAAGCTAAAGATTTAAAAACAGGTTCATATTAATATATTTTACATTATAAATTTTATTTTATTTTAGAAAATAAAAGAAGGCTAAAGATTTATCATTGATTCAAGAAGCTAAAGATTTATTATTGATTCAAGAAGCTAAAGATTTATTATTGATTCAAGAAGCTAAAGATTTATCATTGATTCAAGAAGCTAAAGATTTAAAAACAGGTTCATATTAATATATTTTACACTATAGTTTTATATATTTATTTTAATTATGTCATTATATCTTAATACTAAATTTAATTCTATACATGAATTAAACGATGCCATATCTATATATGAAAAAGAATTTTTTTTTAACATAGTTATTAATAAATCAGACTTATTAAAGGAACCTTATAGCAAAGCATTTATAGCTCAATATAAATATAATCGAGTTTATTATATATGTAAATATGGACTGAAAAAAAAATAAGTCTAGAGGTATAAGATCCTCATCTAGTCTTCGCAAGGAATGTATTTTTATGTTCACAGTCTTTCTTCAGTGTGATAAACTAAATGTGTATTCTTTAGATATTGTCACATTTGTAAAAGATCATAAAAACCATGATCTAGGTTAGACATATTTATTTGATTTTTAACTAACATGATTTATATAATCAAGATAAAAAACTATATGAGATGCTCTCTAAACAAAGAAGGCTTTCTCCAATAAAAAAACAAATTGTGGAGCAAGTTATCACTTTTAAAGCTAATAAGTTGAAAATACAAGAATATGTTCTTAATTCAGGTCAGATGATGACTCTGAGAGATATTCATAATATTTCAGCCAAATTAAACAAGCCATCTGATAATGTATTACTTGATGTAATAAATCAACTCAGGGAAGATAATGGAGCTGTGGTGGAAATCCAAGAAAATGATAGTGAATTGTTGGGCATTTACTTTCAAGATGCTAGCATGCTCCATTATCTTAAATATTATCCTGAGGTGATATTCATTGATGCTACCTACAAATTAAACAATCTAGGTATGCCACTGTTTATTCTACTTGTAATAGATAGTCATGGACAATCTCAAATTGTCGCTTTATGGCTTGTAAAGGCGGAATCATATTTTTGTGTTAAAAATATGTGCATGATGCTTGGTACCAGATGAAAAAATTGTCTGCGGGAAAATGGCTGATGTTAAATTGTTTTATATATTTTCTTCAAGATACATTTAAAATATTTGCCTTTAAAATGCCATCTCCGAGAAATAATGGAATGCCATATCTTTATTTGAATGGAAAACAGGCCTATTTAATCTTTTATATTTTATAGATATCAATAAAAATCACTTTATCATCATTGGAGAAGACCTTAACATGAAATTATGTAATGAAATCACTAATTCTCTTATTGGTTTTGCTACTTTAAATAATCAACTTTTTATAAACAAAGAAACAATAAATATCACACATACTTCAAACCCTCAAACAAATATACTCCTATAATCCTTAAAAAATATAATATCTCTAATCTTAATTTACCAACCTCAGCAAATAATTTTCTACATAATTTGACTCAAATCAACAATAATGACTCATGGTTAAACATTTCAAACTCAATTATCAAAACAGCAAATACCCATCTTAATATTAATTATCAATATCTATACATAATGTACATAAATACAAATGTGTTATTTAATTATTTCTGCTAGCAATATAATTATACATGAATGGGTTTAAATTTAATCATCAATATGTGTCATTAAATCATCACAACACAAATTCTCATTAAATATTTTCTTTGTTATTTTTTATTTTTCAATATTATTTTTTAGATGTTACAAGAAAAGGTATAGTTTTAAAAAAAATTAATTATATATTTATATATTTATCAAGATGACACAATTAAATCAGGACAGAAAAAATGTTAATACTTTTTAAAATTTATTAAATAACTTTAAACAGTTCCTAGGTCAAGTGAAGAGTTTCATTCTAGTACCATAAAAGGTATACAATGGATTTTATTATTAAATAATATTCCTTTTTTTAGATGATGATGAAAATTTTCAAGAACCAGCTATTAAAAATCTAAAGCTTAATGCGGAAGAAAATCATATGAAGGGTAATATTTTCATATATTTAATATTAAATCCTTTTTGAAAATATCTAGTTATGAATATACTAAATTCGATAGTTGGAGAGGATTATAATTGTATAAACAAAAAAGGTATAATAAAAAAAATCTAATATACATATTTTTTTAGATGATGGAGTTAAGACACCAGAAAAAGCATCGAAAATGCTAGAGCCTGATGACATTCGACCTTTTGGTAACATTTTTAAGATTTGATAAAATCAATTTTTTAATTTAATAGGTGGCCCGCCGGAGAGGACGGGCATGGCTCAAAATGCCGTTTATGGTACAGAGGTGGAGATAGTTGCAATGACTACTATGCTCCAGACTAATATTTTAATACATACTATTTATAAATGGGCATACTATATGCCCATTAAAAAATTAAGTAATATTAAAAAATTTAATGTAAATATTTATTTAATAAATCATAGCGAACATATTGATCGCATAATTAATTTTAATTAATATTTATATCGCATATAGCATATATTATTTATATCACATATATTATTAATTGATTTTTTTATCTTTATATTTACAAATTAAATAAAGGATTTTAATAAATTATTCTGAAAATTGTTTCTAACTTTGAGCAGTAACGTGATAATAGATAGTGCAAGATTTATATGTTAATCTTTGATATTTTCGAATTAAACCTTAAATAAATATATAAATTTTTAACACTTAATATTAAATCTAATAATTTCTAAAGAGAATAAGGCAAAATTGCCTTAAATATCATAGGACATAGAAAAAATAATATTTATTATTCATACGTCAGTTATAAATGCCAATTCACTAAATTTATTATATTTATATGTCAGTCATAAACGTCAAACCGGCACTAGTTAGCGAAGATAATGCAATAAGGTAACAATAGACATGATCACATATTTTTAATTATTTTACCTGGCTCCGACTCCACGGGTTAGCAGAATTCTCGATTATTTAAAATTTGACCAAATAATATAAATTTGAAGACAAAATTATCGAGAAAGAATACCAATCGAATTTCAACGCAAATTTCAATACTTTATTTCCAAAAAGGAATTCACTAAAATATTTAGAAGGATTTTAACCAAAAAAAATGAAATGTTACACCTACAATTCACTTCTTTTTTTATAGGGAACTCTTTAATTATAAAAAAAAATAGTATAAAATAATAAATTTAAAAATAATTTCTTTAAAATTAAAAACCAAAAAATTATGCTGATGTTATGTTTTGACAAAACACCGTTGGGGTTTCATGTTATATATATATCCATACTTTTATTTTTTTATACACTACTTTTCTACATTTTGTTATGAAATTTTCTCCGCTTAAAAAAAAATCTATTATAACTCAAAGCCTCCTCCCAACATTGTTATTTTGTCCCCTTGGTTCATCCATTCTTTACTTTTTTTATATGATAATTTTTTTTTTCCTTTTTAGCTTTAACATTCTTCACTTATCTATTGTATTATTACTCATGCTATCTATTTTTATATTTGTATTTCTGATCTATTTCATTTGTTTCGATCACCGGTGTATCATTTTCGAGGCCAAAATATCTTGATCTCCCACCGATGTATCAAATCAGTATCGACCAGATATCCCACCTGAGTATTCCCAACACGGCGTTATCAAATCGACAGATATCCCAATCCTGATCTCCCATATATGATAGATTTCATTTGTATCGATCACCGTATCACTATCGAGGATAAAGTATCTTGATCTCCCCTACCGGTGTATCAAATCAATATCGACCAGATATCCAGCCTGAGTATTCCTCACACTGAATTATCAAATCGACAGTTATCCCAATCCTGATCTCCCACTGGTATCAATCCTGATGGATCTCCCACCGGAGTAACGTTATCAAGCCCATTGTAACTTGGTAGACATAAGAAATCGTTATCATCTTACCCACGAGTTCAGCTGGCCGTCTTTTTTGGTTTATTGGGCAAGTATCTTAGCACCCAGCTGTCCAAGCTTGTCGGTGAGGGTGGCATTTCTCAGCTCAGAAATTTATCATATAATATGTCTAAAGCCATACATCATCGGAGAAAAATCCAAAAAATTGAAAAAAAAAATTATTTCAAGTATATTAAAATATATTGCTGCCAATTATCATCAATGAGCAAAATGCAAGTTCATTTATATTACATGAAATGACAAATAATAGTTCCGTTTGTTATTTACATGAATAAGTATTGCATTTATTGCAAATAACTCTTGAACATG